TGTCCTGAAATCTGTATCCTAAAATCTGTAAACTATAATACTCTTAAAACTTTCAGGAGGAAATTTCTATTAGTATCTGTCTAAATGTGACAGACTCAAATACTCGTCTTGCCCAGACATATACAGAAAGGGTTCGACTTTGGGTCCACTAGACCGTGCTCCTTGTTTGTTTGAATAAAGAGAAGCACTTTGATGAACAACAACAGTCATATCGTCATCATCATTTCATCCTGGTCTTTCTCATCCTGAATCAGGGTATAGGCCACAGACATATATTTTCCATTTTCCCTATCTTAAGCTAGCTTCTTGGCATTATTCTAGGTCTTTCCACTTTTTTGTACATCATAACAGTCATTTAGGGAAGAGGAAAAGCAAGAAAGACAGACAGAAACAATAGATGGAAACAGAAGAAGTAGGATTTACTGGTGGCGCCCTCCATCCAACCGCTGCACTCACCTGGTGCTTCCTCCTCTGAATGAAGTCGGACAAGCGGGTCATGTTGATGGGCTTGGGTCGGATGGGAGAGCTGCGGTGCATGGCTGCCTTCTTGATCCATGCACTCTCCAGACACGCCTGAGCTGTAGGGCGTTTACTGTAGGCATAAATATTGTATAACATGTTTCACTTTAAGCAACACAAATAGTTTACATAAGAGTTGAAAATCAGAGGTTTACTTTTGGTTTTGCAACACTTGCAATACAAATAAATTACAACATTCTATTTGACATTTTTGGTCGTTTTGAATTACTAATACCATGAGGTCAGAAAACAAATGTTCTGTCTGCAGTATAAAAAATCGTTAGATTATTCAGAGTCGTTATTAAGATATTTTTAAAAAACTGCAATAAAAAAAGTTTGACTTTTTGTGAAAATTTAAACCAAGAACTGAGAAGATAAAACTTTGTAACTCTGTGGTAGCAATTTGTCCATGAGAGCCGACTTACCCGACCTCCTCCACCAGCATAAAGCGGACCAGGTCTTTTGCCTCTGGAGAGATACCAGCAAAGTACTCATCAGGGAAGCAGAAGTCATTACGTACGATATTGGAACAGGTTTCTTCTTGGCTCTCGTCCAAAAACGGCGAAACTCCACTCAACAGGACATACAAGAAGACACCAACACTCCTGGGGAAATGAAAGGAGACAGAGAGGAAATCAATATGAGGAGGAAGTTAAGAGAATGTATTTATTGCTAATCTCCATGCAAGAGTAACAATTACAGGTCAATCTACGCATTCATGTGTGTCTATATGTGATGACATAAACGCAGTTAGACATACCAGAGGCACCCTCCAACCATCCACGCAATACGACAGACATTGATCCAAAAGAGCATACAAAATATACACATACACAACCAAAAGATTAAATACTGCGACACAGCAAATATAAACCAGATCTGATATCTAATAACAAACACACAAAAACAAAATAATACACAACCACACACACTCATGTCAACACAAGACTAAATCCCCTCTGTGACAGCGTAAACTGACCAGATATCGTGAACAAGCATAGAAGAATAAAAATACACACATATATACACACACAATAATAAATCCCCTCCATTACATTGCAAACTAATAAGATATCTGTGAACAAACATACATAAACAAACTAACACACACTCAGGGTTCATACTGAGCAGGAGATTTTTTTTCCAAGACTTTTCCAAGAATTTTCAAAACCAGATTTCTTTTTTCCAAGATGAATAACATGTCATTTCGGAAGAAAAATTTCATTCAGCATGCAAATATACATTATGTTACACTTCAGAAAGCGTAAAGTTGAGGCCTTCTAAACTTTTACGAAATATTTTTACAATAGATCTAGCTAAAAATTTGTTTTTATAAGACTTTCCGAAGAATTTTACCAATTTTCCCAAATTCCAAGAGTTTTCTATAGCTTGGAAAATAAAAACAAAATTCCACCAGTATTCCAGTTTTGTAAGACCTGTACAAACCCTGCACACTTCTTAGACAAAACACAAGAAAACTCCCAACCTCCTATAAATACGTAAACTGACCAGATATCTGTGAGAAGGCCGACTGGCGTGCCGCTGACCACCTCTGGGCTGGTGAACTCCGGGTGGCCAATCATCGGATGGATGTAGTAGTTGTTGTAGATGTGCCGGGCGTCGCCAAAGTCCACAATTTTGAGGAGCACCATGGTCGGCGACACCTCCACCATCAGGTTCTCCGGCTGAAACACAAGGTATTAAGATAAAACTTTTAAAATGATAAAACACCACCTTTATCGATAAAAAGTAGTCAAATATCCTTTCATTTTCATTGATAAAAAACTATAACATATCACTTTCATTGATGAAGAAACAATAACATCATTTTCATTGATAAAGACATTATAACATATCACTTTCATTGATTTAAAAAAAACGAAAAAAAAACCCCAAAACTTTCATTGATTAAAAAAAAAATTATTGAATACCACTTCCACTGTTTAAAAAACAAATCCCTTCCAATGATAAAAAGCACTTTTTCTGATTCCTTTTTAGAAAATGTAGAGTATGACGGCAAGTACAAAATATACATTATTTACAATAATTCATCCAAACTTTATTTACAATAATTCATCAACATCGTATAAACACAATACCACACCCATAATAGTTCATCCGTCAATGTCTGATCAAGAACAATGCATCTGCTGTTTCAGACTATTTCAGGATCAGCATGCTCCTCGATAATCATGGCACAACACTCGTAGCATAAAAAGTCCAACAGTTCTCACCTTCACATCCAGGTGAGCAATACGACAGTTGTGCAGGTACTGCAGACAGTCCAGCAGCTGTGCCAGGTACTCCGCAGCCAGCAGTTCGTCAAAATGATGTTTTCCACAGATGAACTCCAGCAGTCGGCCCTGATCCAATCTGATCAAAAGAAATTAGATTAAACCATTAAAAAGTACACCAAAAAAAAGCTTTTGAGATGATAAATAATCTTGACAAGTTATTTCATAATATCAAGACTGTAAGGAGGAAACAAAAATATGAACACATTTATATATACACATCCACATAAACAATTGCCATCATCCCCCAAAAAACATATTTTTAGATAGTCTTTGAGGGTCCCCAACTTTACACTTCTCCATTCCAACAATTATGTGTATAAACTCATATGTACACAAAATATAACTAATGCCATTCAACAAATGCCACAACTCACAGAAAATAGCATTGCCTTTCCCTTTTTTAAAGTGTGGTGTTGATCTGCCTTACTTATCCTACAACATAAAAACGAATACCAAATCCTCCCTCCCATCACCGTTTCCTCTCAAAATACACAACAAAACCCCCCCACATAAATAGTCACACAGAAAAACAGATTACCACACTGACGTCCCCCAACCATCTACCCACCCACAAACACACCTACCATCTACCCACCCACAAACACACCTACCATCTACCCACCCACAAACACACCTACCATCCACCCACCCACAAACACACCTACCATCTACCCACCCACAAACACACCTACCATCCACCCACCCACAAACACACTTATGAAGTAAGGAAAACCCCGTCCACTCACAGCTGCATGATGATGAGGTAATGGGCTGGGCTCTCGTACAGATCAAACACTTTGACTAGGTTGGTCTGCTGCAGACTCTGCACCGTGTTGAACTCAATCTCCGCAGCCTCCTTCCTGGTCAGTCGCTTGGTGATCAGCTTGACCGCCAGCTCCTGGCCCGAGCACTTCTGGACACATCGATGGACGATGGAGAACCTGCCCCTAGGGAAATGGGAAAAGGCAAAAACTTAAGGGCAAGTGCAATAAAAAAAACAACCTCAATTCTATGGGCAAATTGACTGCTCAGTGAAGGACTCAGTCATTCTTCACTTTTCAAAATGGCGTACCCGTATAGCAGAATCTTCCACTAGGCAGTCAAAATGTAGATTTTGAAATATCTTATCAATAAATCAAAATCAAAATAATTATTCAATCAGAAAAATCTTTGGTGTAAAGTTTTATCATATCTTGTAGTGTCTACCTGCAATATTTCAAATTTATTTGATTAAAAATAAGAAAAAACTTTTGACCCAAAAAAATAACTCGTTCAAAAAGAAAAACAAAATGGCTGCCGTTTTTAGTCATTTGTTTTCAATACAAACACACTTTATAATTTGTTTTTTTACATGAATCATCTAATTAGCCCCCAAATGTAAGCTTTCAACACAAAAAAAAACACACACTATAAAACAAATACAGTCGAACCTGCCCTGATGGCCACCTCTATAAGACGACCACCTGTACAAACGGCCACTTTCCATTTCCCCCCCTTGCATTTTTTCTATACAATTTAACTGTGTAAAACGGGCACCTGTCCAACTCGGCCACGGCCACCATATTTTAACACACAACCCCTATCACACAAAGCAATAACACCTGTCTTAGACGGCCACCTTTGTGACTCCAATACATTTTGTCATAAATTGTGCAGTGGCCCCTGGCGTTGTTGGCGAGCCGTCATAATTCAATCACCTGTCGTTGTTGTTAGGTAGTCCCTCCAACCGATCATGTTGCGTAGGCCCCTCCCACTGTTGACCAATAGGTAACAAATTTTCAGCTGCCATTGGGGTCAGCGTGCGATCTCTCATAACCTTTAAGTAAGCCCCGCTCAGAACTCATACACAAATCGTAAGTGAGATGAGCGGTCACTGTTTACCCAGTCTGTAACAAAGTAACAATGGACGTCAACATGAACTTGAGACAGAAGCGTCGCTCGTTCTGCGAGTGGTGGCAACCCGTGTGTTTGTTTTACCATAGCACTCGGTCCTCCCTGTCTGACATATTTCGTTTTATTGTCACCCTTGCACAAAAGCAGCAACAAAAAAAAAAAAAGAACAAAAAACAACGAAAACAATAACAACAACAACAAAGCGGCTATCTTCGGTTGGGACCTCAGAAAGAAATGGTTTGTTTTCTTCATCTTGATCAGTCCTGCCTAAGACGGCCACCTGTCTTATACGGCCACTTTTCCCCTTGACAATGAGTGGCAGTCTTACACAGGTTCGACTGTACTTGTGAATACGACCTTTTCTAAACAAATACTTGTGAATACGACCTTTTCTAAACAAATACTTGTGAATACGACCTTTTCTAAACAAATACTTGTGAATACGACCTTTTCTAAACAAATACTTGTGAATACGACCTTTTCTAAACAAATACTTGTGAATACGACCTTTTCTAAACAAATACTTGTGAATACGACCTTTTCTAAACAAATACTTGTGAATACGACCTTTTCTAAACAAATACTTGTGAATACGACCTTTTCTAAACAAATACTTGTGAATACGACCTTTTCTAAACAAATACTTGTGAATACGACCTTTTCTACCAAACATGTTCCGATAACAACTCCCTCTTAAGCATCAGAATCATACTGCCTTCAGGGTTCAGAAAAAACGACCATCAAAAAATCAATTTCAGCTTCTCCATCCTGGTGATTTTTGTGTCTGAATAATACTATTTATCCAAAAACTATGACCCTTTTTATTAAACCCTTTGAAACAATTCGTTGCACAATATGATTTTCTGGTATGCAAATATAATTTTAGCTCACAAATTCTTTAAAAACTTGAAGTGAAATAGAAACTGAATATTTATTTCAGTTTTCATTTTTGCATAAGATGGACACGATACTGGTTCAAACTCATTTGGTAATCAAAACACTTACAAAAAGAATCCAACGTCAAAGTGAAACAAAACAAGGGTAAAAATTGGTGCTTCAAATATATGAAGGGGTCAAGGGAAAAACAAGCTAAGTAACATTGACCCTACCAAGACCCACCCTATATTTCACTTTTTCATGATGAACTTAGCTTATTCTTTGGGGATTACAGTTGGTTTTTCCTCTTGATTAATTTCATAGGGATATTTTACAGGTACTGTTGCAAATTAAGAGAGTGCCCTGACTTTAACAAAAATGGGCTAATTCTGATTTTTACTGGAAAGGCAGAAAGTACTGGAATTATTGAATCAACCACTTAACACACTAAACCCCTTCGTCTTGTGCAATCCTACACAATATTACTCTGGGTCAAGACCACAATCTTGAGAAGTATTTATCACGATGGTGTGACTGCTGACACTTACTTCCCTATCTCGCCAAGGTCAGTGAAGTCGTTCTCAAAAGTGGACTTCCACATGACACATGGGGCGTCCTCTCTCTCACTGAGCTCTGTAGACAGACAGATAAAAATCACATCTTGGTCAACAGATTTCTCGACACAGGTTACTAAATAACACATGTGTCATAAACCAAATGTCTCTACAAACTAATCATAACACAGTAGTCACATCAAATAATAAAGCCTTAAGCACACACAACAAAAATGTATGTCACAACACATTAGTCCTGACATCAGTATAAACTAGCTTGCCTCAATACAATTATTTTAAGTTACATGTAATAGTACATACAAAGATTAAAGCACATCAATCATAACCTATGTCATTTTTGCACGATATTTTATCACAATCATTTTGTTATGACAATGACAAAAACTAAGTTGGTAGTGAGGGACATAAGGCAATTCACATTCGTCATAGCCTGGCCATGTTTATCATATATCAGTGTCTTCATTACAGTATAAACTGACCAAACAAAACTCTGAAATACAGTCAAACCTGTTTAAAGACCACCTGTCCAAGACAACCACCTGTACAAATGACCACTTTAGATTTACCATTTGTGTTTTTTTCCTATATTATGAATACACTGTGAGAGCAGTCGGCAGGTACTCTGGTGTGGTTCGCTTCTTCTTTCCTATTGAACATCTATCGTCCTTACCTCCCCTCCTTATTTTTTGAGTTTGTTACTCCCTTGTAACACCTCTAATCTTCCATACTTATATGACCTTATTGTGTTGCAAGTGCTGTAAAACTTGTACTAAAACTAAACTAAAGGTGACACTGTCCAAGAGGACCACTTGTCTAAGATAACCCCTCTCCTCATGAACAATGGGTGTTTCTCTTGAGACATGTTTGATTGTGCAATTACTTGACTGCAACTTACCATATTCACTGGGTATGGCCACATAGTTCGAAGACTTGCTTGGCTCACTGATGCCTATAGCGTTATTGGCGCTGACACGGAATTGGTAGGTAATGCCAGGTTCCAGGTCGCCAATGACTTGAGAAGTGTTGGGCACATAGGGGATGGCCAACTGCCAGGCTGTGGCACCTGGAAACATATATGATTTGTTAAAGTTAGCACGCCAATGTTATTATGTGGATGCAACACACATATTATTATTGTTTTAAACACATACCATTTTGAGGTGAAAAATGTCATATAGAGTCTATATATATACACAATTCATCAAAAATCAAAATATGTTACTATGACAAGAACATACACTTTTTCATTTATAACCTGCAAAAATTAAAATCCATCAAATTACAACCTATGATTTGTAGTTCTGTATGCATATGGGGAAAATTATGATGTGAGTTACCGGTCTTAACAACATATAAGGATGCTTACAGCTAAAATAATAAGTGACAAGTAACCTGTATGATTGATTATAGGAGTATGTGAGATAGATAGATAGATAGATAGACAGATAGAGAGATAGATTTTTAAAAAATAATTTAGTAGAGGGTTTTGCGGCGCAAGAAACTGCATAAGGTCATATGAGAGCCAAGGGGTGGGCGTCAACAGAGAACTCCTTACAGGGAATCAGACTTACTCTGCTCACCCCTCTAGCTTCAACAGCACAAGGTCTGCTTCGACTACCAAGGCACCCCGGAAATAGCAGGTCACAAGAGAGTGACAAACATACAAAAGAAGTAGAGGAAAATGACAATAGTAAGGATTAGGAAAGAAAAAGCAGCAATTCCCTGTTGCAGATCAGGCACAGTTATGAGCGTGACATGAGACAGACAGACAGACAGACAGACAGACAGACAGACAGACAGACAGACAGACAGACAGACGGAGAGAGAGAGAGAGAGAGAGAGAGAGAGAGAGAGAGAGAGAGAGAGAGAGAGAGAGAGAGAGAGAGAGAGAGAGAGAGAGAGAGAGAGAGAGAGAGAGAGAGAGAGAAGAGGTATTTATAGAGGGACATACAACAAGAAAAGACAGGCACACAAACACAGACAAAGACAGGCAGAGAGAATGACAAAGACAAAGAGGCACAAGGACAAATACAGACACATTGCCAGAGCACAGCAGCAGAACTCACCAGCCTCCCTGTACTCCACTGTGTAGCCCTGTATCTGTACAGGCACACCCGAGCTCATGGAGGCCATGGTCTGAGCGTTGACGGGCGGGGCCCACTCCAGGTGTACGGCCGTCCCCACCTGGTTCCTTATCACAGGCAGTCCGGGGGGCCCTGGCCGGTCTGAGGAAGGCATTTGACCATGAACACCAGATGTCAAATTCAGTCTCACAGAGGGCCAAACTCATAATACATTTTAGGTTCAACGCAGAACTGGACAAATACTCATTGAGCAGTGGAAGACTAACCCATTTTAAAGACTGATATGAATTAAAACAGATTTAAAAAATGTTTGCTCTTTTCTCATGTTTTCTACACCACCTGATCTTAAAGTAGGAAGGATCCAGCACCTAGTCTTCTCCAATAAGGACAAAAACATTCAGAGGACACGTGGAAGTTCCACACCTCAAAGCTTATATGGCGGTTCTAAAATTGAAGAGTGCAAGACCAGTCGGGCATCTGTCAGGGTAAAATTCAAAATTAATTCAAACTCAGAAATGAAACCACTCAAGTCAGCATAAATATCAAGAGTACCATTGAAAATGCCACGTGGTTACCTCTCAGGTAAAGGATAATTCTTCATCTCATGTAGATATAATGCTCAAATATGTAAAAATCAACTTCACTGTGAAAATCTTACAGTCAGTTACCCTTTGAGCTCTAGCAAAGGAACGCAGAAGATATTTGATGGAAGATCCTCACTACCCCACAATAATTTAATTTTTTTTAAAAACAACAAAACTTTCAAAATACACAAAAAACATTTCTGAACCTTTTGGAGACTTCACGCTATCTCCCTGTTAGTTAATGAAAAACAGTCTTTCCAGCAACCACCAACGGGAAAACGACAGTAACTCACCCAGTACAGACAGCATTGCTCGGGTGACGACAGTGCCGAGCTCACTGGTGGCCACACAAGAGTACTCTCCTGTGTCCGTGGTCGAGACATTCGACAGCTGAGAAACACCAGACAGAAAAAAACCCCCACACATTAGAACATGATCTTAGACAATTCATTTCATATGTATATGGAAAAAACAAGATCAAACACGCTTTCTAATAGTTTTAGTAAGAACACTTTGAACTTTGAGTAAAGAGAAGCACATCAACACAAAAATGGTCATCTAGTGCCGGGACACAGGCTGCTTTCATATCTTTGAATGGGATTTGGAAGACCAGATATCTCACTTCGAACAAAGCTGAGGATTTTCAATTCAAATGTGAAATCAGTCCTGTTGTATGGATGTGAGACATGGAATGCATCACAGACTTGCATAAAGAGGATCCAAGTTTTCTTGAACAAGTGTCTAAGAAAGTTACTGAGAACAGAGTCACCAACGAGGAAGTGTTAAGGAAAACAAAACAGATCCCAGTCAGAGATGAGGTAGGAAGAAAGTGATGACGATGGATTGGACATACTCTCAGGAAGTCAGGCAGCTGTTTTTTTTTGTTTTTGTAAAGTGTTTTACGGCGCTCGCAACTGCATAGGTCATATCAGCGCGCGGGACACACCTAATATTTTCAGTTGGTAGGAAATTTTGAATTTTGCCCGGGTGGCGGCCGAAGCCTACTCTTATCGATTTTAGACCACCAAGGGATCTTTAACGTGCGCAATTTGCACACGGGTCCTCCGAGATTTTTCGCCCTTGTCCGAGAAGGCTAGGTGTAGATCTTTCCTACCAGAAGATCAGGGGTGTGGCAGAAAGACAGCAGTAAGGAGGGGCCAAGGAGTAGCAGTAGAAAGGCTGCAGAGAGAGTCAGGAGCCCAGAGGAGGGGGCAAAGGAGGTGAGGGGGTGGGGGCAGAAAGTGGAAAGGAAAGCAGACAACAGAACATTGTTAGAGAGCAGGGAAGGATGTGAAAGGAGACAATTTTAGAGAAGAAAATTTTTTGGTCGCTACCCGGAATCGAACCCGGGACCTTTGAATGAGAGGCCAACACCTTAACCTCTAGGCCACGAGAGCCCCCTCAGGCAGCTGCATAACAAGGAAGGATAGATATGAACGATAGATGTTTGATAGGAAAGAAAAAGCAAACCACACCAGAGCACCCACCAACCACCCACTCACGAGATGACTCACCTGTAGGGTAGCCAGACCTTCCTCATTATACATCATCATGACCCGTGAACTGTGACCTATGACCTGTGAGTCCTGGTAGCGCCAGGTGACCAAAGGTCGAGGTCGGCCACACAAGCGACAGGTCAGTGTGGCGATATCTCCAGCCTGGACGGTCAGGCTGGTCAGTGGCTGTTGGACAATGGGAGGCACCTCCAGGCCCAGGTCAGGAGAGAGTAGCTGTTGAGAAACATAGGAGGAACACATTGGGATTGGTGGAAACCTTCTTGACTTTAATTACCAGCTCTCAAGACTTGTGTATGCAGGCTGAGGATAAAGACGGTTATAGGGACCACCAAGAGATCATTTTAGTTTTGTTTTTAGTTGGCATACTGTATTCCAGGGGTTTTATTTTAGGAGCACAACTTGAATTTACAATCTTCAATGAAATTCCTGAACTCAAGTCATTCCCAAAATGTTAAACGTGGCCCTTCTGTATTGGAAAACATGAATCTTAGCAAATCAGATTGTCAATTCAAACCATTCCTTAAAAATGAAATAGGCAAAACGAAAAAAAAAGTACACAAAAAAACCTTGGGGTACAGCATTTAGGAACAGGGCTTGGTGTTGGTAAAGAAAATTTTTACACCGCCTCAAACTGTGATAGGACTCTTTGGTAACCATAGGAACCATAACCTTTTCGAGACTTTTTGTTAAAAACATACTTCAAATTGGGAAGACCACATTTCATTCTAATACTATACACAATGCATGTTGCAGCAAGTTTTGTCAAATTTCCACTTGCAACATTTGAGGGACAAGTTTCCTCCATTGAGGGACAAAAGCCACATAAATAGCGTCACATGATGTCCCAACCTCAAAAACACAATGTCATGAAGGGCAACCAGACTTACCTTGACCCTGGGCTTGCCGTCCCGGCCCAATGATTTGGACTTTCTCTCCAGGCTGGTCATCCCATCCATGTCTCGTCGGTCGTGTGAGTCTGAGTCGTAGCGCTGAGGGGAGCGGAACATGGGCTTCTTGATCTTGAACATTTGCTTGGAGAATTTCCTGCTGTTTGGTGAACGAAGGAAGTCACATGAGCCACAGAGATAAAAGATTGGTTTTTTTTATGTTTTTAGTATAGTACGCATTTTACAGCACATACAGCACAATTAGATCATATCAGTAACAATGATTAAAAGTTTTACTAGAGAGTAACAATAAGAAAATGAGAAAGAGAGATAAGGATGATAGATGTTGGATAGGAAAGAAGGAAAAACAAAAAAAATACAAACATTTCTCTTCCTGTTAAGGAAATAAAACACCTGTCTTCTCAGTCTCAACACCTGCCAGTGAAATAAATGTTATTTCTTCATTAAGAATTAAGACGTATTTCAAGTCAGTAAGAACATTAAGCTTCAACATTGAGGAATCAAATAAGTAATTCATTGAGTAAAGAGAAACACATTGACACCTTAAAAGTAATTCAGTGCCAGGAAAAAGGAAGAAAGAGATGACAGAACCAACTGGGGGAGAGATAAAAAGTACTCTATTATTTCAAGTTTAGTCAGTTTTAGTAGGCCTACTAGTTTTACAGCACTCACAACACAAATAGATAAAAAAGTGCTGAAAATTATAGGTGTTATTACAGTACGGTAAAAAATTCGTGGCGCAACTTATTGTCAAATATCTCCTAAACTGATAAATATAGACTCTCCAGCTTTTGCATAATGATTTGTATCAATTAGTCATAACAGATTAAGATTTTTGTAAACATCCTTTGGCTGTATTCTAGAAAATTCCTCAATAATCACTAATAAAATATCCAAGTGGGTGATTTCTACAGATTTTAAAAGGTTTACAGAAGGGGCAAGTCTGCCATTTGTCTCTAATCATGACACTATCTTTATTGAACGTGTTTCGAGAACCTTTAGTGCAAAAGTGAGTTCACAATACAATAAATTTCTTGTAACAAGTTCTGCCTCTAAAAAGTGTCATTGGTGAGCTGTGACATAGGCCATAAGTGTACGCAAAATGTGTGTGAGGAGTGGGAAGTGCTGTGAACAATTCCATTTTCCCTGTGGCGGAGATTAACAGTATGTTATATAAATTTAATAATAATAATAATAATAATAATAATATATAACATTTATAGAGCGCATTTCCAAAAAAGTAGCTCAGTGCGCATTGGAATACCCATTTTTCAAAAACCTTTCTTACTACTTCCTTTCTTCTCATGCAATAGACATTAATGCACACACACACACACACACACACACACACACACACACACACACACACACACACACACAAACACACACACACACACAGACTATTTTCATCCAGACATAGGAACAGAACAACTATAATGAAAAATAATGTTAAAAGCTTATGAATGATAGGCCTGTAGGAACAGAAAATGTGTAAGGTGTCTTTTGAAGCTATCAAGTGTTTTTATTTGTCTTAGTTTCATGGGTAATCTGTTCCACATAAATGGACCAAGATATGAGAAAGATCTCTCTCCATATGATTTGTATGATTTTACAGGTGTCACAAGTAGGGTGTTATCGTTTGATGATCCTAGGTTTCTCCCTGGCTTATAAATACTAATAAGTTCTTGTAGATAAAAAGGAGCAGTTTTATTTACACATTTGAAACACATGACGCAGATTCTAAATATTATTCTTTCTTTTACAGGGAGCCAATTCAGTTCTTTTAATAATGGAGTGACATGGTCTCGTTTTTTAGATCTTGTTATCAGTCTAGCAGCATTGTTTTAAATTTAAGAAGAAAAGTTTCTTAACTTATTCTTAATTGTTGTGGAAAAATATGATTAAGTTAAGACAAATTGATACAAACTGTGGTGCAAATTATGGGCGACATTGATTCACCTGTTAAAGAGATATTTAATGATAAGTTGTGCTAAAAATGTTTCACTTGCTATAGAGAGTAACATACAAAGAAAAGGAGGAGACGTAAGGACAAAAGATGTGTATAGGAAGGAAGGAGCAAACGACACCACAAAGCAAGACTAACAGATGACAGAAGCAACAGGAGGAGCGAGAAAAATTATTTTTTTAAAAATCAGGTTTCCACAAGTAAAAAAAAATAAACTTATCAAGAGCACATACTTGAGACTGCCCTCTCCATCTCTGGGTCCAATGATGTGACTGGGCACCCATCCCTCGGCTGCGGGAGAGTTGTGATTGGCCGGTCTGTGGACCAGGTACATGTTCTGGTGGTTCATGTTGAGGATCTGCACCAGTTCCCCTTTGTTGACGGTCACCTCATCCTCCTTGATAGCTTGGTAGTCAAACAGGATGCGGGCGCTTGTCAGAGGGGTCTCCACTATCGGCTGCCCGTCGGAGGGGAGGGGGGAGACAGGGTGGGGGGAAAATGACATGAATGATAATCAGAAGATAAGGACAGCAGAGAGAACTCTTTTCTAAAAATTATGAATGTTTTACACTTCAATCCACAAAATTTAGATCAATTATAAGGAGGCCGTCTTTGACTCTGAGTAGGGTCAACCTGGCCTGAGTGAGACACAACATCCCAGAGGACAGACCAATGTACTCCATGAAAATCTTTCCCACTTGGGAACTGAACTCACATCTTCTGTGTGTGATGGCAAAGAGCCCAACCACTACACCACAGATGCTAGTGTTTAAAATCAGTGAAACGATTGTCAATAACTCAGAGAGGAGAAAGCTTCTTTAAATGTTATCCACTATTGGTGGGGTCCAAATAAAGTGAAAGTTGCAAAACAATACAGATTAGAAATGGTTTTGAGGCTGAGTCAGTCACATTGGTCATAATATGTTCGTTCATCAGCTGTTTACAACTGGAAAGGGTATAATTCTGTACGACATTGATTGGATCCAGACTTTCTCACCATAAACACCAAGAGCACAGTACTGTTCTCTAGTAATTGTAAATATTTGTAAGTGTTTTACGCCTCCATAGACACAATTTAGATCACTAGGGAGGCATGCTATTTCAGGCTTGAGTCTTCTTTGCGCAACCACAAACAGCCTAACAACTAAACCACAGAAGCCAGTATATGGTTCTTTTGTCTGACAAAAGCTTACAAACAATGAAATTGAAGACATAGATCTCGTTGAGTCTTACCAAAAATACTTTGTCCCTTGTTCTCTGAAGAAGACAACACTGCAAATACAAACCGCCTGGCTTGCTTAATGCCCTGTCAACCTCCAATGTGTAGTACATGCAGTCATCGGGAGAACCCCTCAGCTTTCAAAGTTCCATCAGCATCCAAAACAATTGGTCACATGATGTCAGCATCACAGGACATGCTATATGCTATCGCTGCATGGTTATGTTTGCCCAGTCATTTCTATTACTTCCAAGAGTCAGACCGAAGACCACCAAAGGTCTCCTTTCTTTTTCTTTAACTCCATCACCCTAACAACACCAACAGGACCTTCATCATCATTGTCATCCTCATCACCCTCATCATCATCATTATCATCATCATCATCAAAGCATCCCCAACCTTAGTATAATTATCAAAACTACATTTTCATAAACATTTATGCTCGGTATCATCACACTATGTATCTTGAATGTTAGGCTGCAGAATGAGAACGTGTGTACCAGGACCAGTGCATGCATGCTTGCACCGACAGAATTTTTTGTATGACTGAGTGAGCATGCATCAGGGTGTTACTAAGTGTGAGTAGTAGTAGTATGGACGTGAGCACGTGTGAAGTTGGCTGAAGTTACTTATTGTGCAGTCAAAAATTCGTGGCACAACTTATTGTCAAATATCTCCTACACTATAAAATAATAACTCTTCAGCTTTTGCACAGTGACTTGTATCAATTTGTCTTTTCAGATCAATATTTTTGTAAACACCTGCAAGCTCTATTCTAGAAAATTACTTAATAGATAGGCCTACTGCCAAGATATCCCAGTGGTTGGTTTATACTGAGTTTAAAAGGAACAGCTGGGACAATATTGCTTTTAAAAGCAAGTCTGTCATTTTTTTCTAATCGCGAGATTATCTTTATTGAATGTATGTTTTGTGAACTTTTTGAGCAAAAAAGTGTTCGCTATAAAGTTAATTTCTTATAACAAGTTTTGTGATTTTAAAATTTAGCCTCAATTGTTGTGGAGAAATATGATTAAGTTAAGACAAATTGTCTGAAACTGCTGTGCAAAGTATGGGTGACAATGACTAAACCATTACAAAGATATTTAAGGATAAGTGGCACCACGAATTTTTTACCACACTACAGATGGGTGGAGGTTTAGATGGGTGGTGACAACTGAGATTATCAGCAGGATGACAAAGCTCTGCAAGCGACTCGTCGGAGCGGTATTCTATTATAGGTCTAGACAATTTTCCCAGAACTGGACGCTATCTTTTTTCATCTTGTTACTTAAAGCAAGTTGTTAAAACTTTGTTTTTGGAAATGGATGGAAAGCAAGCAAATGCCAAAAGTTAATGGCAGCAAGACGAACAGCAAGCATACATTATGTCAAATCAACCGTGATAAATCTCTCTCTCTTTCTTATTCTTTCTCTTTCTCACTCTCAATCGCTTTCACTCTAAGATTTACTCTCTCTCTCACACACACACACACACACACACTCACACAATCGACATCAACATCACACAATAGAGGGCAGAGAGATTAACACATAGCACAAGGACCTCATAATGTGGCTACCATTATTACCTCATCCCTACATTGACTCTGCCTCGTCTTTAGTGATACGCTGTACTATGACATCATTTCTGTAAGTTCTTCCCACCATTGCGAAGTCTATAAAGTCTACATAATAATATGAGGTCTATTTCATCACATTTGACCTTTAATTGTCAAAAAAGTCAACACAGTGTTAACATTTTGAAATCTGTGACCGAAGTCTACTAATTATATTATAATATTAAGTGAACCTTGTTCTCTTTGACACATCCACTCCATCACAGTAATTTGAGGTGATTTAAAAAAAATAAATGAAAGTTCCTCTTGAATATCCTATTTTGATGAATGCTCCATTTAGAAAAGTCACTCAAAGGGGCAGTTCATTCCACTTCATCAGCTCAGTACCCCAAAGTATGACCTGACAGTCTACAGCCTTTTTCGAAACGGTCAAAGTTAGGGATAGTGACTACTTAGGAAACCTTTTCTGCATTGATATGGTCAGCAAATTCTACTTAGTCATGATAGATATGGGTTTGACAACCCCCTTCATCTTCAGTGTTATTCTAAAGACAGGACCTCTGCTGTAACTTCCATTTCAATTAGGACCAAATAGACAATAATGATAGATTACATTTTTAGAGCGCTCTGGAGAGAAAAAAGAAATCTCAAATCACCTAATTTCAAAATCAGTCCGATGTGGATTTGAATGAGGACTGCCACACAGAAGTCCAATACACTACCTTCTGGATTGTCTCGTCATAATGAAGTCATACTGTGTGCATGAATAAAGCAATGCATTGCACGTTTGGAAAAGGTTGAAATGAGGACATTAAGCTTGGAATAGTTGGAAGGCAGCAAAAGCAAATCTACACAAGTACTGGCGAGCCACAAAGGAACTGCAAATGAAATATAATATGTAAGCGGAGGTAGCCATAAATAAAAATTTGTGGAGTGGTGCCTGGTATGGGTAAGCACGAGTTCAAGTTAAGTACAATTGTTCCATTGAAAATTTATGCCACAAACCTTTTTTTAGGACTAAATTTATACATGTTATGGACTATTTCCATCAACCTTCATGTCTATGGCGGAGCTACTAGGCACAGCGTTATGCCTCAAAACTTGTATTACTATAACTCTATATCTTTAGATTAATCCAGAGTTCACAATTAAATAATGCATTTTTAGTAATTTAGCTGAAGCTAGGGGTCACTGACCAGAACGTAGGCCCCTCAGTTGATCATTATAATATGTCTACAAATCAAAGCAAAAAAAAAAAAAGAATAAATTATACCTTGCACTTTTTCTGGATATCAAGAACAGTGACTGGATATCTGCCTCTTAAAGGGGTCATTAATTAAACTTAGAATTGAACCATCGGATTACCAAAACAAAGACACCACCAAGTGTTTGCACCACAAAAAAATAGAGGCATAATATGTATATTTAACATAAAAACAAGGGGACTCTTCCCACCTCATTCCTGAATACTACTTCTAACAATTGAGAAGCCAATTGGCTAAAAAAAAAACAATCTTGAGCTTTTTAGACCCCATGAAAATGTGTTAGCAGACTCTAAATTTACGGACCATATGGTTTAAGGACCATTTGTATCACAACTATTTTAATAATTTAATATCCGGAACTTTTGAAAAGGGGTACAGGTGGATTGATAGATATGAAAGAGCTTGGAATGCAGAAGATCAGAGGACATAGCGGTAAGAGTACAAAGCAATTAATTGTCTGACCCCCTTTAAAAAAGCATCAGAAACACTTCATGAGTGAAAGATAGAATCTTGGCGTTTGATAGTAGAGGATACTGGGATGGAAGGAAGACAATGACATTCCAGAGAAGGGATAGTTCATCAAACTAGTAGTGCCTGTAGACTGTACATATTCACTGCTATCATCATCTTAGCCCAATCATTTGTGTTTTCGGTGGTACTTAATTAAAGCTAAAATCTCTAGTCTCTAGTCTGAATCTGCATCTGCAAGGCATACTTCTAGAAGCAAATTGAAAAATAAGAGCAGTAAAGGGTTAGCCACAAATGCAAAGCAAAGATATTTATTGAATTGTAAAAGATGAAATGAATGAAGACACTGAACTCAAGATGCATGGTTGTTAGTAATGGGTTCACAGCAAACACAGCTAGAGCAGCATGCATGTGGCCAAAATGACACGAGCCCGGAGAACAGGGCGTGACTGTTTGGTGGACCTCTTCGTTTTCCTGTCAGCTCAAAAGTAGTTCAAAGTACAATCATCAACGCGAACAACTACTCTATCACTCCATTTGGCTAAAATCATGAAATAGTACATATTCAATGATTGCAATTAATAAAACAGACAAAGTTAAGTATGGTGTCTTGCAGATGACACTATCTTTGTGACCCTGTATATATATAATATGCATGTCGTATTCTGTGCATGTATGTATGTGCGAGAATGCGCACATATGCTTGCTCGTGTGTAGAGGCTTGCAGTTCAAACAGTGCTAGAGGACGCACCAAAAGTTTCCAAAGTAGGGGAGATAAACACAAGAACATGCCTGAAAGATGTATTCATACATATCTTACTCCACCAGTTTTGTAAGAGTAGGCCAGTCAAGTCTCACGCAAGAGATCAAAATGTACATCAACAACAATCCCCTCGAAACTCTTGATTTAGATGAAGGTATGGAAACTA